CTCTCTCTCACACACACACACACACACACACACACACACACACACACACACACACACACACACACACACAATCACATGTATCATGATGTATGTATATTCTCTTTCCCTGTTTTTTATTCTAGATACTTCTTTTTGTGTGTCTAAGAGAGCACCTCACGCCGTGCCAAATAGTCGGTGCTTCGTTGTTCGTAGTGCTTGCAACACTGTTAAGGGGGCTTCTTTGTTCAGGATGTCAGTGTCTGAGTGTTCCTTGGGTGACGACGGACGTTCGTCGAAGTGCCTTCCTGGCTCCGAGGGTGGTGTGAACAGACAGTCTGCCATGTTCCACTTGTGGTGTGAGTGGGTCATGGGCTGCTTTGGTCCGTGTTGGTTGTCTGGACTGCTTTGTCTCTGCTGCCTCCCAGCCTTGTCGCCCGTGCACTTGCCTAGTCGTTCTCGGTCACCTCCCTGCCTTTGGCCTCCCTGCCTTTCCATTGCTGCCTTTTGCCTCGCTCCCTTTTGCCTTGCTGCCTTGCTGCTTTGTGTGCTTGCCTTGCTGATTGGTTGGTCGCTGCTCATTGGGTCGCACCACTTGCCTTGTCAATTTTGTTTGGTACCCTGCGTTATGCTAGTGATCGTTGTCAGAGGGAGGAAGGAAAAAGGCAGCAGCAGCAGGAGGAGGAATGAGCGCTTTTGATGTTGTTCTGCCATGATGATCTAGTAAAAATAGAGCCTCCATGGTGTTTCCTTATCTCACGCCGGGTCAGTCCTTTCATCATTTATGAGCTTGTGAATGCCCCGCGACTAACGGTTCCGACGCACTAGCTTGCTGCGTGGTTGGTTGGTGCTCATCGGGTCGCACCGCTTGCCTTGTTGTTTGGCTGCGTTGTTGGCTCGCTCCATTGCTGCCTTGTGTGGCCAGATGCTCATAGTGCAGCCCTACCGCTTGCCCTTGTGTTAGTCTGTCCAACCACCTCCCCCGTGCCCTCCAGCCTATCTATCTTGCTCCTGCTTGTTGTCTGACGCCTTATTGCCTCACCCTTGCCTTGCTGCTTGTTCGGCTGTTTGTCCTTAACCCTGCGACCACGCTTGTCCACTTACAATGGTGGTTGAAACGGTTCATGACTCGAAGCATCAATATGGGGCCCGGTTCGCAGCACGTGTTGCTCCCCACGAATAAGATCGGAGCATCGCCCCAAATATTGTCACATAACTATGAACGAAAAGAGCGCACTTTGCGAAACAAACGGCAAAAAAAAAAAAAAAAAAAAACAAGAGAAACATGAAGGGCGCAGTGAAACCATTCATTTTTCTCATTCTTCTTCTGACTCCCCTTTCACCGTGCCTCTCACGTACAAGTTGAGCGCGAGCTGCCCTCATCCCCGTGTGCCATAACAGCCCACTAGCACGCTGTGAAAAAGAGGCAGAGTGAAGGGGGAGGGGATAAACACAGGGAGGAGAGATGGAGAGCAGACAAACAAAGAACGATAAAGGGAAAGTAAGGGAAAGTATGGAGCGTGGAGTGAAGATGAAGGCAAAAGAGGATAACAAAAGGCTCAAGAATGAGTTTGTCCTTGACGACGGAGAGGACATACATTGTAACGATGAGGTGGATGAACACATGGAAGACCTAGCTGAGCATTCTCAGTGCAACAATTGCCACGACGGGTGGCATTGAGCATGCCCACCATACACCCCCGACAAATGGCATGCCGATTGCAGGTATATTAAAAAAAAAAGGGAATTCTGCAGACTTGTCGAGGGTTCAGCATTCCGGATGAGCTGGTGCAAGTCCAAAGAAATAATCTGACATCATCCTTGTTCGGCTTGTTTTTGTTTCCTTTTTTTTTTTTTTATCCACAACACATAGGCCCCTTCTATTCTCGGGGGCATCAGTCTGGTTGCTTATTACCAGCAAGCAAGAGTACAAGGAAAAGCGAGAGAAGATGGCTGACTTTCGTCTCTGTTCGACTTGTAGGTCTCACAGTCAGGCAGGCTGTGACCATTACGCTCTACATCTGCGCAAAGCGCTCGCTTGAGCCTACCTTCGCGCGCCTCCGTTAGAGAAGTAAAAGAAGACTCATCCCAGCCCTTGCGGTACGAGTCACCTACTCAAGGAGGGGGGCTGCTACAAGCCAACTCCCCCCCCCCCCCCCAAAAAAAAAAAAAAAACATTAGCCTTCCTGGAGGACTTCTGCTGGCCAGGAAGCGTACTGGCAGCACCCAGTAATGCAGAAGAAGGGCCTCAGGGAGGGCGAGGTGCGGGTTGGGCCCTGCTAGCAGCCTCTCAGGCTGCAAAACCCCGTTCCGTCCAATTGGGGTGAGAAATAGCCCCCAAAAAAGGTAGGTGTCTGGGACATCAGTCTTGACCTTTAGGTAGCGGCACTGCCCTACCACTAGTTCCCCCCCCCCCCCCCCCACAACAAATCTTTAATGGGGACACAGGACCCAGCCATGCGACCCCTTTTTTTTTTTGAGTGAATGTTTCCCCTGTGCACCGCACCGTGTGGGTCAGCTCGTGCACCAAGCATGCAGAATTTTCCGCACAGGGTCCGCTTGCATGTATGCTCTGCGGTGATTCGCCTCTTTTTTGGGGGCGCGCAGAGGGAATCTGCCCCGGCAAAAAAAGAGGTTCGGAGCTAGCCGTGGTTTAAAGAACAGATTGCCACAGAAATATTCGCCGGGTCGTGGAGGTTCGGTTTTCCCTTTTCAGGTTTCGTTTTTGCGATGCTGCTGCCCAAAAGAACTCCGGAGTGACGACTCCTTGCAAATGCCAAACGACAATCTGTCTGCAAATTAGCGAAATCAGACTCTTCAGAGCAAAAAACACACAACATAACTTCAAATAAGACCTATTGAGAAGAAGGAAGGAGCCTTGGGAAAAAACAAAAAAAAAGAGAGGGCTACCGAAAAAAACATAAGAAAAGGGATGCAGGAGGCTGTTGAGAATGGGAGTGAATGGCGTGTGCGACTGACCTCCGAGTGCGTCATCGATGGCGCAGTGGCTTGGGTTACAAGGTGACCGTATTTAGGGTGGTTTTGCAGCCAGGCCTTGAGATAATCAAGCGCCTCTGCCGCCTCAAGCTCTGCCAAAATGGAGACACACATACACACCTCGTCACGGTGAGGGCAGGGATGGGAGTGGAACTGGGAGGTAGTCAGAACACAATAAAGGTAGGGGTTATCCCATCCGTAAAAGAACGTCAAATCATAGCAGTCATCTGCATCCAAATTAGCTGGCTGATGATGGATGGACGCGTGGGTGGGTGGGTGGGTGGGTGGGTGGGTG